GGGAGAGACAGAGAGAGCGGTGACGCGGGGGGAGCGGAGCGGGTGTGGGTCGAGGCTAGCGAGAGAATAAATTGGTGGGGCAAGTGTTAGCGATTAGAAGTCGAGCAGTGGGCCACTAGGGGCCACACACCACACGACGTTCTCTCTCTCTCCACTTCTCCCTCTCTCTCTCTCCCCTCTCCTCTCCTTCTCTCTCTCCCTCTCCCCACTATCTCTAACACTTACGGCCCCGCGGACCAGCACGAAATATTAGGGCTCCAGTTTGGGCCGACCTCTTGCGCTGCAACAGACAGATCGCTTAACGAAGTGACAGCAGAGGTAGAGGCGGGGCCGCACGGGACCGGAATCAAAAACTATCCAAAAGATGGCGCCCTGGCGCGCGAGAAATCGACCAAACGGCAAGCGAACGATATCTCTGCGGTCTGGCCCGGAATTTCGACCAGCGGCGCGGTGGCAGCGCGGACACCTTCCGGAGAACGCCTGGCGAAATAGACTCCAGTTCTGGGAATGGTCCCGGCAGGCAGCGGAATGTGGACCAGAGAGCAAAAGCAGTGGGGACGGGGAGGGGGTGATACGACTGTGTAAGCGAGCCACCCTAAGCGGGTGTAAAGTCGTCCGTCGTCGTGTATCTTCTGCGCCCGAGGCCGGAGAGCGCGCGTCGCCTTGGGGACCACGGAGCTCTGCAACAGGGGGCTTATACGTTATTGGGCTGCAACACACACTCTGCTCTGCTGGCAGACGGGGGGACTTCGATAATCGGACTCATAACAATTACAGAGTGGCGGGTCCCGCGAGTTACGAGGACGATAATGCGATCCCTGGGCGACATTCCTCCCCGGAAACACGGGATCGGGGCGGAGCGGGCAGGGTGGAGTTCGCTGCGGCGAAATAAGAATATATAAAGCGGGGAATATGTGGAGGTGTTGAGCAATTGGGGCCGGATTTATGTGTCACATTAATTGGGTGCAGCGCAGTGGCTGGCGTTGCAGTTCTTCCTCTTATTTACTGCAAAAATATGACGCAGTATAAAATTGCAACGTTCTTGATCGTGGGTTTTATTGCGTGACCGATGCGGAGTAGTATAGTATGCGTCGGCGCATTTTTTGTACGATTTGTTGTCGGCAATGCATCCTGGTTTTAGGACAACAGAATTAAAAAAAAATTGTAGGGCGTCAATTTATGGAAATACTGTGCTATAAGAGTGATTAGATTGTTTATCTTTCGCTGTAAATATTCCTTATTTTCACCTCTAATCCCGCTTTGTTCTCCTTTAGTTCCTTCTCGTCCAAACACGTAGCTATTTCCACCATCTCTCGACTAGATCCGGTCCGGAAGCAAAGCGACCGGGCCAGACCGCACCACATTGTTTCCAAAGTGGATCACGCATCGCCGGCCTTCGTGCTGCCCATTCATAATCGGGAGCAGGGAGCGCGCGGCCCAAGCGGCCCCAGCGACCTCGCGGCCCAAACCACCGCCGCACGCACTCGCACGCACTCGCACGCACCAAGCACGAGGAAATATTGGGATCGTGCACGTCGAGGTGCACGTATGACATTTTTACCCGGGGTTCATCGAATTTCATGGGGACTCCATGACAGTTTTGCCCTGGGTACAAATATCATGGGGATCACATGCCATTTTTTTTTTACAAATATCGTAATGGTCCTTCAGCTTGCTATCTACCGCATGCTGATTCTTTTGGAGCGATTTCATAATATTTTGACCCCGCCTCCCCACTATGGTCACGCGGTATGTGCTCAATCTTTGTACCTTATCTATGCGGAAACAAAGATAAGGCGCGCGGGGTTACCAGATTGTTGCGCTCAGTCCACACATACAAATGTTCAGAAGCATACGTAAGAGCCAAAACCGAAATGGGTTCACGTGTGTCCAGTCCATGTTGATGAGGCTGAGTGTTGTATGTTGTGATCCAGGTGGATGGATGGATCAGGTTCGGATCAGCAGAAGGCTTATCTGGGTGACGCATCGTGTGTATGTATGTGCGTGTGTGTGAGTGAGTGAGAAAGTAAGGCGAGGGGGCTGGGGGCTGCCGCTTGACCACCTACCAAGGCGCGCGGACAAGCGCCACTGAAAATTTTCGTATGCGTGTGCCCCCAATCCTTCATATTTTTTGACGTAGCGAACGACAGACTCGTCGCATTCAGTCTATATCAAGATGTTTGTAAAAATTATTTTCTTGAAATATAATTTTTACTACAACCTCCAGAGAGTGTCGCCTTACTTAACACGACGGCGCACCATCGTCGTGTGCTCTCGCAGAGCGCTCGATCTCGACCAGCGCGGCAACACGCCGGTCCAAACAACAAATCACAGCGCTGTGGACCGGCCCTGCTGCAGGGTGACCGTTGTTGATGTATGTCTTCCGAAATCCCCGCCGCCGCCGCCGCTGCCGCAGCGACGTACACACGCCCGGCCCGGCCCGCGGAGGCGAGAGCACGCCGAGAGTGCGGTGGGGCGGATGTGTGCAGCTAATGGCGGGAACATGTTTGAGGACGCAGACCGAGGGGTACTTCACTTTAAAAGTCAAAAGAAAAAAGGCAAAAAAAAAAATTAAGAAAAAATCTAAAATCTGAGAAAATAAAAAAAAAAATCAGAAGAAAAAACAACTTTTTGGAAAAGAATAGATTAAAAAATTGGTGTACGTAAGCTTGAACTTAAAGTGAAGTACCCTCCGGACAGATGTTTGCCGCTAATGGCGGAAACACGTTTGAGGACGCAGGCATTTGCAAGGCTCCTCTTGGCCGCGGGCCGGTCACCGTATTGGTCACGCCTCCTGCACAACTCGCAAGATGTATTCCTCGTCACGACTCGGCGATAAAAAAAAAGATGGGCTCGGTCAAGTCGAAAAGTCGCCGTCGCCGAGAGGCTCCGCTGTATGCTGCACCATCCGAGGATGCTAGGAGGATCAGAGAGGCTGCTGAAAAGCCTTTTAGAAAAGAACAGTCGCGGTTGTTAAATGGCGATTCCGAGCTGCATAGTTTCTGTCGTCGTTTCATCGGACACGACTTGCTCGTTTGAAAAGAGTTTGAGAAGCAGTCAAAAGTCAAACGTAGCGTGGTGACCGGGTCGGGTCAGCTCGGCAAGCAGCCCGGAAGCCGAGACTGCCACTCAGCAACTTTGTATCCTTCGGCCGGATCCCTTTATACCCGCGCTTGTCCAGCTCGCCGCGCCTCGCCGCCGATACGAATCGCGCGCGCTGATTCGGTTTGACGGTCAGCCTGGCGTGTTGATCGACGAGCCGACGGTCGTGTCCGCTAGGCGGAACG